AAATCTGTTTTCAAATATATGACATATTTCAGACATCCAAATAATTGTAGATAATAAAATGGCAAACATTTATGTATCCTTTGCCAGCTTAACTAAAAATTACAGAATAAAAAATTTCTTTACATCGATACTCAGATTCTATCAGGGAGCCTTTATTAAACCGCTCTTTAATTAGTTTTAGGATAACAAATTGGTGTCTGAGGTATAGAAAAGATTTATCATAGACTTTTCAATTCTGGAAAAACGTAAAGTTTGGGATTAAGACATTTTTGAAGAAGATGCATACGGAGGAAGGAAGGAATTGCTTGCTATGCTGGCAAAGAGCATTTAGTCAAAAATTGCTCTGAGTGCATCAGGTCCTTGAAAGCACAGGAGAGCTGCACGGTCTAGGCTATGTAATGTTTACGGTTTAGTTCATGTTTCAGTTCTCAGTTTATCCCCCTGCCCATATCATGGTTTCAGATTTTTCTAGCATTTTACATGTCAGCCTTCAATCCTTAGGATTATGATTTAATAAAATGCAGTGTTGACATCATGGCTGCTTGGCATTTGGAAATTCTGTCCATTTGCAGAGTTCTAAAGAGATTCACCATCTGCTCAGTAGGCTGCGCTGGCTGACATTACCTGAGCCATGTCTGTCACCGACAGCCCTTGGCCTGCTGTGATCTGCTCCACTGCAGGTGGGGGGAGGGTGTGACTTGCTTCAGGTTTATGGTTTGTCCTGGAATAGTGATTCACAGAGTCAGTATCAAAGGGCTAAGTATAAACCGTCTGACTCTAAGTACGGGCTGTGGCTAGGTTGTGGGTGTCAGATTCAGCTCTCTGTCAGTCTAGGTGTTTTCGCAGGTGTAGAGTTCCCTTCCGTGAGCCCCCAGTGCTCTCCTTTCGGGCTGTCATGCGATGCCACACGCGGCTTCTTAGCACCAGTCACTGTCGCTTGGTTCCACCCCCACCCAAGGAGGATGAAGCATAACATGAGCCAGAAGTAAGACCTGGGCCCTTGGAACCGCAGTTTCCAACCTGCGCCCACAGTTCCCACCATGGGGCAGAGCAGGGATCCCTGCGCTCTCCCAACACCAACAGATGGGGCACCTGTGGGCTTCCTCACGTGGGAGGCCCTATGCCGTGAACCTAGAATGAAACTCTCCACTCATTGTGGAGCAGCAGCTTGCTGATTTGTGTGGAAACAGTGGCCCTGCCCACGCAGCAAGAGCCATGCCGGCCGGGGTCCGGCATTTCTGAGGAGAGAGGTGTGTCTAGAACCCTTTCTCCTCCCCGCCATCTGCTGTGCACCAGCCTCTTGCTTTCTGGCAGCTGATTTCACTTGGTATGGAGAGTTGGGGTTTGGGTGGTCATGTGCTGGCTCTGTGAAAATGGCTTCCTGACGTGGGGTCCCCTGGCAGCCACAGTGGGCCCGAGTGCCCACATGCGGGGTGCAGGGGTGTGCGGGGCAGGAAGCGGTGAGCAGGGCCACCATCACCCGCAGCTGCCTCCTCAGGACTAACCAAAGGGCCTGGCCTGGAACGTGCCGTTTGGAGCCGTCTGGCCTGGGCCCTGTTCCCACAAGTCGAGATGCCGCCCTGCCAGGCTTAGCTCCATCAGTGCCCCGCAGAAGGATGGGAAGGTGTTTAAGTTTCTCAGCTTCTGGACGTAGCCCTCACGCCCTGCAAGGCTGAGGTCCTGCGGCTGTCTCCTGCCCCTGCTGGTGAAGCAGAGTCATGGGAAGTCATCTCTCTGATCCCAGGGCAGAATCTGGAGAGTGAGCACCTCGGTCCAGTCCCCTTTGTTCTTCTCGTGACTTCACGAGAGGTCACCCCGAGAAGAGGTGGGTGCGTATTTGCTGACGGAGGGAAAGTACCACAACCCACCAGGGGGAAGTGGGGGCTTCTGTCAGCACTCCTCCTTCATTTTGAAGGCCGGGGTCTGTGTGGGAGCCAGCAGGGGCTGACCAGGGCCCAGGACCAGCATCTCTGTCCACGGCAGGTGCTCAGAATGAAATCTTATCAAAGGCATCCTCAGGAAAAACTAACCTCTCTAGCTGTAGGTGGGCTTCAAACATGAGGGTCACTGTGAGCCCTGAGGATCCAGGCTACCTGTCGCTGACAGCCTGGACTTCCCTGCCCGGCCCTCTGCCGCGGCAGCCACGGCGGCCGGGAGCCATCCTCCTCGGGTCCCAGCTCTTACCTCCCTGGTGTCTCACCTGGTCTCACGCAGTGCCTGAGGCTTGCAAAGCCTTCACCTCAGCACACAGCGAGCTCCTCTGAGACGTGCCTGAGAGCCGTGTCCTGGCATCGCTGGCATTTGTGCTGTGAGATCAGGGTGGGTATGGCCCTTGGGCCTGCCAAATGCTCTGTTTAGTAAGACAGTTTTATCCTTTTCGGTGAAAGATACAGCGAGCACCTGGCAGGAGGTTTGAAGTGTGCAGAGGCTGGGGATGAGGGGATCCCTCCTCTCTGCAGCACATCTCTTGGTGGTTTCTGGGTCTCTGTAGGCGTTTCCTGGGCACACATGGCGTGCGTATGGGTGATGCCTGTGTGAGACTGCGATTGTTCGGATGCGATTGTCCATTCTGCCTGGGGCGCCTGGCTGCCCCTCACCCTCTGGGAGACCTTCCCTGCCAGGAGTGGGTAGGGAGGCTGGCTGCCCCGAGGGGTTACCCAGCTCCACTCAAGAGCAGGTGGTTTGTCTCAGGCTTCTCCCCTCCCCAGTACTGTGGTGCCCCCATGTGCCCACGTGCGTGGGTGTGACTGCGGGGACAGGGCCTGAAATTGGAGTGGCCAGGTTAGCAGGTTTTATCAGAACGCCCTCCACCTGTTCTCGCCAGGCTGTACCCCAGCAGGGGAGAGGAGCTGGCCATGGCTCCTGCAGGGGTGTGGGCAGCTGATCTCTGACTTGGGTCCACCCCTGGAAGCCACGGCAGTAGCAGTGCCCCAGAAGGGGCGGCAGGAATGCGTGACTCAAAGGAGAAATGCTCAGAATAGTCCTGGGTACCTGGTGAGCGCAGCAGGTTTCGATGTTTATTGTTACTGTTTGGGGAATATAAATTTCTTACGCTCTGTTGCTTTGGAAATTATGCAGTTGTTAGGCTGTGACTTTCCAGTGGGCTGGTAAAGTCGGGTCAGCGCTGTGGCCACCTGTCCTGGCCGTGAGAACTCCGACTCAGCCGGTGGACTTCTCGTGCAGCCTGGGCCACTGCTCCTGCTGCTCCTCGGAGCTTGTTCTTGCCCCTTGGGCACCTGTCACCCTGACTCTTGCCTTCCTCCCCTTGGGTCCTTTTCTGTCTGAGTCCGGCAGGGATGCTGCCGTCTGCGCCATGTCCCGTCCTCCAGGTCCCGTGACCCAGCCTGAGCCACAGACTGGGTGGAGGAGGAGGTTTGGGGGAGGCCGTCTGCTGTGGATTCTAAAGAAGAGGGGGCCTGCCTTCACCCTGGAGGGGGGGACAGCAAGCACTCAGAGCCCCCAGCACGTGGCAGGACAGAGCTGACCTCACGAGTCCCTTCTCTCCCCAGGCTGGGTCCGGTACGCGGAGCGGGTGCTGGGCCGCCCTGTCACCCCCCACCTCTGCACTGCCAAGTCCCCGCAGCAGGTCATGGGCTCTTTGGTGAAGGATTATTTTGCCCGACAGCAGGTAAGCTGACCTCCTCCTGGAGGGAGGAGATGAACTTCTGGCTTGCTGTGCAGGAACTGAGTGGGGCGAGCGAGGGGCACCAGGGCTGGGGGCAGAAGTTCCATCACACATCCGGGTGGTCACAGACCCCCAGGCGAGTATGAGGGAAGCTGTGGCCTCAGGACTCATTTGCGGCGCTGTTTCCTGTCAGCGTCCAGCTCTGTGCCTTTCTTCCTTTCTCCTTAACCTTACGTGTGGCATCTGGGGGTTCTCCTGGACCAAGTGTGGGCCGGGGAGAAAGACCGCCCACCCTGCTGAGAGGCCCTGGCCTCGCCCGCTGAGGAGCTGCCCGCCTGCTTCTCAGATACCTCGCCAGGGAGGCCATGGGGCCTCCAAGAACTCCCTGCGCCCTTGAAGGGGCCTGGGCCTATGGTTGGTTCTCCGCCCCTGGCATGCCCCCCTGCCCTTCTCCATGAGCCTTTAAGCCCTTCAGGGGACTGGTGAGTCAGCCGCTGTGGCAACGGAGGACTGCAAATTCGGGATCCAGCCTGGAGAGGCGCACACGCTTGCGGCGTTGTTATTTCAGCAATAGGGAATGTTTTCCTTCTACCCGGTTTTCTCATAAAATCACCACAGCTGGCAAATTATAAACATGACGTTGGGGTGTGTGTCCAACATAGGTGGGACAAAAAACGAGCTATGGGACTTTGTACCCCCTCCTTGCCCTTCCCCCACCTGTCGGGGGAAATCCATGTGTCTCTCAGTCTTCTAAGTGGCCCTCCCCTGGCTCGAGCCCAAAGCCCCGGGTCCTGCAGATGCTGCTGAGGGGCAGCCAAGCTGCGGAGCCCCGGCCTCTGGCTGCGTCTCACCTGACCACCTGGCAAGGGCTGGGACCAGGGCGAGTTTCCTCTTCTGCTCTGCCCCTGTCTGAGTAGGGCCTTTGCACCTAGACTGCACCCCAAGGTCACTCGGCAGCCACCAGCTCCTGGCTTTGCCGCCAGTTCTGGCTCAGCTGTGGGCTGGCCCCGGGAGAGGAGCAGCTTGGGAAGGTGACACTTGAGAAGCTTCAGGAATGTCTTAATAAACCAGGCATCCAGCGTGGTTCCACACTGGCTGGCCTTTACCTGTTTTATCCCCGTGTGCACGCGTGCAGGAGGAAGCAGGCTCAGCTCTCCCTGCTCTTCCAGGGAGGCTGTGCAGGCGGCTGGGCCTTGTGGACGGGCCAGACTGCGTCTGGGGCGCGGCAGCAGACATGCGGGCTGGGTGCTGTGCTTGGTGCAGTTGGGGAGGGACAGGGACCAGCTGTAGCTGCAGCAGGCGACAGTCTCTGTCCCTTGTGCTCTGGGCACCACTGTAAGCTGCCATGGTCACCTCTCCACCAGCCCTAAACGTGGGCTGTCCTTCCTCACAGAACCTGTCTCCAGAGAAGATCTTCCATGTCATTGTGGCCCCTTGCTACGACAGGAAGCTGGAGGCCCTTCGAGAAGGCTTTTCCTCTGCTTCACACAGTTCCCGGGGTGCTGACTGTGTGTTAACGTCAGGTGAGAGGAGGGTGGGGCACGTCTGCACACAGCCATCTCGGTGCCTGTCACTGTGGTCACCATGGTCTGGCCACCGTCTCAAGTCACCGGCCACTTGGCATCCTTGGCGTTTAATTGCGTGACAGTGAAGAGAAGGGCAGCGTTTGGTCTTGTGTCCCGTCTCCTCGGCTTCTCCGGTGCGATAGGTGAGGTCTCTGGCAGAACCGCTGAGGCAGCATGGCCTGTCATGTTACCTTACGGTCCACCTTACCCCTTGGTAGGGAGAGTCGAGTGTAGCCACGGAAGGTCTCCTGGTAACGCTTTTCAGGTGTTACGGTAGCAGACCGCCCCAGCTTCTGTGTGCGCCGAGGGTGGAACTCATCCCTGGAGTTGGGCAGGGAGCTTAAAGACTTTGTTAAAATTCTACTGGATTGGTTTTAATCAGGCTCTGAAAACGGGTCTCCCCCCAGGTGTTTCGGTCAGTGGTAGGTTAGGCAGAGTGGCTGGCTCTTGGGACAACCTTTGAGGGCTCTGATTCCCGGGCCCCCCGGCCTCAAACCTTAGTGTGAGGAAGGTCTCTGCCCCGCAGGCGCAGGCGCCCCGTGGGTGGTACGGCCGGGGGATGAGGGGCAGTGTGGCCCTTCACTCCCTGCGCAAGGGCTGGGGGCCGTGTGCTTGGTGAGAACCACACCTGGCTGTCTTTTCCGAGTGCAGGTTCATACTGAGAAACTCTGTCCTCACGCGTGTGCTAAGAGACTCACTTTTTCTATCGAGGGTTTTTCAGGAGCCCTTGGGTGAAAAGTAATGCAGCTCTGGTTTGCAGCTGGTATCGCTGCAGAATAGCTGAGCGTCATACAGATGCAGCCAGTGTGCTCTTGGTCACCCGGTGCATGTGAGCGTGTTTACACAGACATTTCCACTTGGCTCATGCAGAGTGGACAAGAAAACAGTTTTCCCCTGGAGACACAGTGAAGGAGGGGTTGATCGCTAGTACAGTCCTCAGTTCAGCAGCAGGAGGAGGACTAGAATGAGTGTCGTCTAAGGTTTTATCAGCGTTCCCACTTAGCGCTGCTTTGCCTTGAGCTAGGCTCCTGCTGTGGTGGAGGTTTCCTAGCAGGCAGGGCACCTGGGTCACTAGTGTCGAATTTCCTGGGGGAGGAAAGTGTGGTGTCCCAGTGGCGCGGGCCATTGGTGGCCTTTGATGGCGCCTCATACCACTTGTTTGCCTGTAGGTGAAATTGCTCAAATAATGGAGCAAAGTGACCTCTCAGTGCAAGATGCCACCGTCGACATTCTGTAAGTGGCTTCTGCGGGGAGGGTCCACTGGTGGGCAGGGCCACCTCCCATCCCAGGGCTGTCCTGCTCTATGACAAGGCCATGCAAAGCACTGAGGCATGCTCCCCCCCACAGCCCTCAGTCACCTTTCTGGCTGTTGAACTGGACGTGAGCAGAACCTGGAATGCCGTTCTCCAGGGCTGCCAGGGAGTCGGGGCTGGGTGGGCGAAGGAGAAGCACAAACTGCTGTGTTCCTGCTGAGGCAGAGCTGTACGTTTGTGCACCAACGCCCTCCCTTCCGCATGTCACCGCTCCTGACGGGCCGCGTTGCCTCCGGGGACATGGAGCGGCTCCCTGAGGCCCCTGTGCGCCAAGAGCAGCAGCCTGGATTCCCCTGTGGGTGGTGACCTGATGCCCAGCAAGGCCTGCGGCTCTGCCGTGTCCCAGGCACTGGGCAGAGAGTGCCACGAAGGCCAGTGGCTCGTGTCCCCCCAAAAGCTCCGTGACCCAGTTGCTACATTTGTGCCCCTTTTGTTGTGGAAGGTGGGACTGAGGTTTACAGAATTTAAGAAACTCTGCTCAGGCCTGGGGTGACCCAGGGTCCCCATGGTGGCACAGGTGTGGGCAGGCAGGCCTCCCCTAGTCACCCTCAGATCCTCAGTTCTTGGGGCAGCCCTGGGTCACGGGCCCTTTGACAGTCTGGGTTCACTCTTGCCGCCCCTTTGCATCAGCACTAATGAAGGACTCGTCTTTTCTCTGCCTGGTGAGGTTTGGAGACTTGGAGGAGGAAAAGGTGACGCGCCATGACGGAGCCAGCTCGGACGGGCACCTGGCGCATGTCTTCAGACACGCGGCCAAGGAGCTGTTCAACGAGGACGTGGAGGAAGTCACTTACCGAGCCCTGAGGTGCGGGCGGGGAGCGGAGGCAGCACCGTGGCCTGTCTGCGTGTGTGGCCCGCACCGGGCGGGCTGCCTGCGGCCAGCCGTGCACAGGCCGTGCCTGTGCGTGTAGCTGTTCTGCGTGGAGTTTACAAGGGTCAAATCAGAAGGCCTTTTTTGAGTTTATTCAGACTTTTTAATTTTGCTGAAATTCCAAATTTAGAAAGTGATGCTTAAGTCACAGATAAAGGGCTTGACAGACGAAAACCCATTTTCATTTTACAGAAACAAAGACTTCCAAGAGGTCACCCTTGAAAAGAACGGGGAGGTTTTGCTACGCTTTGCCGCTGCGTACGGCTTCCGGAACATCCAGAACATGATCCTGAAGCTCAAGAAGGGCGCGTTGCCCTACCACTTCGTGGAGGTCCTCGCGTGCCCCGGAGGTAGGATGCCAAGGGCAGCCGCCAGGGCACCGGCCCTCACCGGCCTCCAGAGCCTCGCTCTGAGTTCGGGCAGCCTTGCAGGGGTGCACTGCGCCCCTGCAGCTTATGCTGGGACATTCTGGGCCCCGTGGGTCCCACTCCTTCCGACACACCCAGGTAGCGTGAAGAGAGGGCTGTGCCCCATGGAAGGACCCATGGGGCACCAGGTGAGAGTCGGCTGGTGCGGCGAACACACCGTGGGTCGAGGCACACGGGAGCCGAGGATGAGCTGGATCCATCCTTGAGTGAGGGGAGACCGGAGTGTGAGGAGGGAGGAGGAGGGGCACCGGCCTGTGGCTCAGGGGCTCCCCTAGGGTGGGCGGGAGGACAGCGTGGGTGATTGCGATCGTCCCGGCAAGTGAGGGTATCCCAGACCGGGGAGAGGAGTGAGGGGCCCCTGAGCAGGGTCCAGAGCTGGGGGGCAGCCGTGGTGGTCCGTCTGCACCCCAGTGGGGACTGGGCTGTCTGCCATCCTGACTGGACACCGTGAGATACTCAAGGGACGATGCCTGGTTCAAGTCCAGAGGCTCCGTGATGGGCAGATGACGAGGTGTGAAGCCACAGCAGGAGAAGAGGCACCCGTGAAGGGCGTGAGCACGCTGGAGGCGCCCGCACTGGTGTCCTTTGACACACGGCGGAGGAGGGGCCCAGGCGGGGAGGAGAAGGCAGGGACCAGAGGCGAGAACTGGCTCTTGGGGAGGGCAGGTCCTACAGCTGGGCTGAGGGACAGCAGGAGGTGGGGCTGGAGGTCTGGGAAAGAGAAGGTGGAGGTCAAAAGGCCAACCGCTGGTGCCATTCTGGAACCAGTGGATAGTGAGGTTTAACTAGGGTGGACATTTGCTCCGAATCTTTTTTGTTTGTATTTTTGTTTTGTTTTGTTGGCTGTTTTTTAAAGAGACGGGGTCTACAGTAGGGTCCTTATCTGTCACCCAGGATGGAGTACAGTGGGATCATCATAGCTCACTGCAGACTTGAACTCCTGGGCACAAATGATCCTCCTGTCTCAGCCTCGCAGGTAGTTGGGACTATAGGCATGCGCCACCATGACTATTTAATTTTCAATTTTTTTTTTTTTTTAGAGATGGGGTCTTGCTATGTTGTCCAGGCTGGCCTCAAACTCCTAGCCTCAGGGGATCCTCCCACCCTCACTTCCCAAAGTGCTGGGATTACAGGCATGAGCCACCATGTCTGGCCAGTCCAAATTCCTTCAGATGAAATTTTTTTTAATTTCAAAATATTACAGGGGTACAAATGTTTTTGGTTACATGTATCAATTTTGTTATGCTTGAGTCAGGGTTATAAGTGTGCCCATCACCCAGACAGTGTTCATCGTACCCGTTGGGTAGGTTTTTGCCCATCCCCTACTACCCCCTTCACCCTGCTTGATTTCCACTGAGTTTTACTTCCCTCTGTGCACATGTGTGCTTATCGGTTAGTTCCACTTTAATAGCAAGTACATGTGGTGTTTGTTTTTCCATTCTGTAGACACTTCACTCAGGATAATGGCCTCCGGTTCCATCCAAATGGTTGCAGAAGGCCTTAATTAATCCTTCTTCATCGCTGAGTAGAACTCCATGATGTACATATACCACATTTTGTTAATCCACTCATGAATTGATGGGCCCTTTGGTTGATTCCACACCTTTGCAGTTGTGAATTGTGCTGTAATAAACATTCAAGTTCAGGTATCTTTTTGATGAAATGACTTCTTTTCCTTTGGGTAGGTACCCAGTAGTGAGATTGCTGGATCGAACGGTACTTCTACTTTTAGTGCTTTGGGGAATCTCCATACTGTTTGCCAAAGAGGTTGTACTAGTTTGCAGTCCCACCAACAGTGTTACACACTTTCCTTTCTCTCTGCATCCTCGCCAGCATCTATTGTTTGGGGGCTTTTTAATAAAAGCCATTTTAACGGGGGTAAGGTGATGGTTTCCATTTGCGTTGCCCTGATAGTGATGTTGAGTGTTTTTTCGTATGTTTATTGAACATTTATCCACCTTCTTTTGAAAAGCTTCTGTTCATGTCTTTTGCCCACTTTTTAATGGACTTTTTTGTTTTTTCCTTGCTGATTTGCTTGAGTTCTTTATAGATTCTGGCTATTAGTCCTTTATCAGATGTATAGCTTGGGAATATTTTCTCCCATTCTGCAGGTTGCTTATTTGCTCTATTGATTGTTTCCTTGGTTGTGCAGAAGCTTTTTAATTTAATCAAGTCCCATTTATTTATTTTTGTTGTTGCTGTGATTGCCATTGGGGTTTTTTTCATAAATTCTTTGCCTAGGCCGATATCTAGAAGAGTTTTTCCAACATTTTCTTCTAGAATTCTTGTGGTTTCATGCCTTACATTTAAATCTTTTATCCATCTTGAATTAATTTTTGTGAGCGTCAAGAGATACGGATCCTGTTTCAGTGTTCTACATGTGGCTATCCAATTTTCCCAGCACCATTTATTGAATAGGGTTTCTTTTCCTCATTGGATATTATTGTCTGCTTTGTCAAAGATCAGTTGGTTCTATATGGATGGGTTTATATCTGGGTTCTCTGTTCTCTTCCACTGGTCTATGCTTCTATTTTTGTGCCAATACCATGCTGTTTTGGTTACTATACCTTGTAGTATAGCTTGAAGTTTAATAATATGATGCCTCCAGATTTGTTCTTTTTGCTTAAGATCACTTTGGCAATTCAGGCTCTTTTCTGGTTCCAAACGAGGCATGGAATTGTTTTTTTCTAGATCTGTGAAATATGACATTGGTATTTTGATGGGGATTGCACTGAATCTGTAAATCAGCAGTCCCCAACCTTTTTAGCACCAGGGACCAGTTTCATGGAAGACAATTTTTCCACGAGGGGGTGTTGGGGGGCAGGAGGCAGAGCTCAGGCAGTGATGCCAGCGATGGGGAGCACATGGAAATACCTGCTTGCCAGCCGCTCACCTCCTGCTGTGCAGGGGCTCCCCCGCATTCCTCAGTTTCATGGAAGACAATTTTTCCATGGATGGGGGGCTGGGGGTGTGGTGGAGCTTTTTGGCCTGGTCCCTAACAGGCCACAGACCAGGGTTTGGGGACCACAGCTGTAGACCACTTTGGGTAGTATGGGCATTTTAACAGTGTAGATTCTACCGATCCATGAGCATGACATGTTTTTCCATTTGTTTGTGTCGTCTGTGATTTCTTTCCTCAGTGTTTCGTAGTTCTCTTTGTATAGATCTTTCACCTCCTTGGTTAAGTATATTCCTAGGTATTTTATTTTCCTTGTTGCTGTTGTGAATGATATTGAGTCTTTGATTTGACTCTCAGCTTGACTGTTGTTGGAGTATAGGAATGCTACTGATTTTGTAACCTGAGACTTTGCTGAATTTATCAACTCTAGGAGTCTCTTGGTAGAGTCTTTGGGGTTTTCTAGATACAAGATCATATTGTCAGCTCAGATTAATTTTTATGCTACTAATCATGACATCATCTGACACATTTGACAGTAAATAGTCCAATATGCAGGAGGCAGTTTTTATTCAGACTACTGTTGGGTGTGTGGGCTCAGGCCTGGGCACACCCCGCCTGTCCCCAGGTGCAGCCCCAGCTGAGGCCAGCACGCGGTAAAGGTAGGAGTGGGCGAACTGCTTGTTCACAGTCCTCATGCTCTCCTGGTATCAGTACATTCCAAGAGAGGCTGGAACTCTGGATTTGCACGCAAAGCCACCGAGTTCTAGGAGTGGCAGCTTATTTGGGTTTTAGGTGAAACCATCTCACGGGTGAGAATGAGGCACACACAGCTGTGAGCTGGCTCAGGGCCTCACTCTGGCTCAGGCTGCCAAGCTGCACCTCTTTTATTCCTCTCCTGCCTCCAAACTGTTTCCTCTAAGGCAAACGCTTCCTTCCAACTGAATATCCCCAAGGAAAGAATGAGCTCGCCTGTGTACATCTTTCAGGATGCTTAAACGGCAGAGGCCAAGCCCAGACCCGGGACGGCCGTGTGGACAAGGCCCTGCTGCGGCAGATGGAAGGCATCTACTCCGACATCCCCGTGCGGCCCCCGGAGACCAGCGCGCATGTGCAGGAGCTGTACCAGCAGTGGCTGGAGGGGGTCGACTCCCCCAAAGCCCAGGAGACGCTGCACACCACGTTCCAGAGCCCCGAGCACTGCGCGCACAGCCTGGACATCAGGTGGTAAAGAGCCGGGGCAGCCGTCGCTGTGCGGCCAGGGCTGCGCTGTGCGGGAAGAGGGGCTGCTCTGGGTGTGGAGTATTAAAGACACTTAGAGAAAACAACTCAGTGGGTGACCTGGTTTCTCAGAGATCTGTGCTATGCCGTCACTGGAGGCCCCTCCTGCAGTTCCGTGTGGTGCTATCTTCGTCGCGTGTGTGGGGTTGGAAATGTTTTAACATGAGAGGAGGAGTTCCCCAACCTAAGTACCTTTTTATCCTAACATTGAGGAAAAAAATCCCAAAGAGTGAGAACAGAAATAGATTACTGTTTTTTAGGTTTTTAAAAAAATCCAAAAAGTGTCCCGTGAGGAGCCAAGGCCCCCAGAGGTCCTGGTTCAAATGCCGCAGAGGTCACGTGACATGGACATGAGGGCAGAGGCGGGACGGGGCCCAGGGACGCCGTTGGCCTTGGGCCTCCAGGGCATGGTCCTAGCTCCCCTGTCCTTTTTGGGTCTTATTTTTACGCACCGTGTTACCCTTGTAAAGGTTTTTGCCAGAATGAATAAACGGCCACCTTTTAGAATCAAGAGACTCATAATACAAATCTGTATTTCCAGCTTTTCTTGTAAAAAATCCTAAGTTTTGGCAGCAGTAGGCCGCATTCCTCACAGTCAGACCAGAGTGCAGTAGCTGCCACCCCCTGGGTCCACAGCAAGGACCCAGGGCCCCAACTGCAACTTTCACGTCCTTCTGAGCTGGAGTCCGAGAAAGGCCTAGCAGGGGTGACAAGTGTCACAGTGCGGACCCAAGCACGCTGCCCACAAGGCTCCCCTTCAGTGCTGTCGGGGTTGGCGTTGGGGACGGCCAGGCCCTGCTGGCCCTGGGTTAGGGGAGAGCTTCCCAAGGGTCGGCCTCCTCTCAGCACTTTCCTGTTGTCCTCAGATAGGATTTTCTTCCCGCACGAGTGGACCTGCCCGATGCGCTCACTCTGCCAGGCCTCTGCTCGGTGGCGGGTTCCAGCCCTGCACCGCACTGCTGGTGCGAGCTCGCCTCAAAAGAGAGGAGAAGGCGGTTAATCCACAAGGGGCTGGCGACCCACGGGAGATGCACAGAGTGGCGAAACTGCACACTAGATGCTTCCTGGGGAAGCGGTGAAGCGAGGCGGCCTGACGGGCCGGGGTCAGCTTTACGGAGCCCTCAGATGGGGTCAGCGTGAGTGGCGACGTCGCTGACCCTCAGTGGGACAGAGCCCTGCACGTTGTTCATGTGCTGTACCTACGTACCTGTCTTGTGGAAAATTGGATGTATTATCTTAAGTTGTGCATTTTTTTTTTTTTTTTTGCTTTCAATGTATACACAATTGGGTTTCCATCCTCAAGTAGCTGATTACAGAATAAACAATTTAGCGTCTGAGTGCGGAGCGCCGGGTGACCAGATGTTGTTCTCCCCAGCTATGCCGTGTCCCTTTCCACTCCTGAGCCCAGGTGGCCTCACCTCGTACTTCCTGAGCTGTCACCTAGTGTGGAGTCAGGACAGTCGTCCTGTCTCCCTCCCAGGGTGCAGGAGGCAGGTGTGGGCTGCCCTCTTCCAGGCGCAGTGAGGAAATCACGCTCTGGGAGAACTGTCACGGCACGTCCACTACAGCCAGCCTGCCACGAAGCCTCCTGTGGGCCTCGAGGGAGGCCAGGCTGAGCGACTGGACGTCGAAACGTGACCTGCGGTCTCACTGTGGCTGAGCATGGGGTATGGCCATGTGTGTTTTTTCTCTGCACAAGAGAACAGTCGAGAGGTTTCCTTCCCTTTGTTATAACCCAACCAATACAAGCAGCAAGGGGCAGCACAGGCCAGGCCGGGTGTGGCCGTGGACGGTCTGGTGGTGAGCCCTGCAGGCCCTGGCGTGGGGAGGACAGGTAAGCCTGGGCATCCACCCCACTGACACCGCTGTGCAGGAACTTTCCGCCTCTGCTGGAGTTCGGGTGCTGCTGTGGTCTGCAGTGGACCTCACCACGTCTGATCGAATAAACGTGTGCACTGCTGTCCTGGTCACTAGATCTGCATCTCGGTGCTCGGGGTCTGGCTGGCCAAGCCCAGATTTCTCAGTCCTGTTTCCACCTGGCCTGAGAGCTGATGCTCTTCAGCAGGGGCACACTGTCCACGTGGGTCCTTCCTTAGCTCTGCCACTGTGCCTGCTCCATCACGGACTGGACGTTGGCCCAGGGCGTGTCCCACAGCCTCAGCCGCCGGCCTAAACTGAGCGATGGACCTGATGGGCCCAGGACCTGCCGTGGTCGGTCGTGTAACCTCCCACTGCATCCAGGCCAGATGACGGAACGGTGGCAGCTTGCCCACGCTCACTCAGCCGCCAGGTGGGGCCCAACATTTGCATTTCTGCTTCACCTCTTTCCACTTGATCGTTTGGCTTTTGCGTGGCATTTGTGTAAAGCAAACAAACTCTCAACTCCGATGGTTAGGAAACGTGAGTCCACCAGTGCAGAGGGCGTGGTGTCATTTTTGGATACAGGCTGGACTTTTTGAATGAGAATGAGCTGTGTGTCCTGAAAACAAGGAGAGCAGTGCCAGGGCTGAACACTTATTTTTAAATTGAAAATTTTTCAGGTATGGTGGCACCTGTAGTCCCAGCTACAACCTGGCAGGCTGAGGCAGAAGGATCGCTTGAGCCCAGGAATTCAAGACTGCAGTGAGCTATGATTGATTGTGCCACTGCACTCCAGCCTGGGCAACAGAGCAAGACCCTGTCTCTAAAAAAATAAATAGAAATGCAAATTATTTTTATTTTTGTCCAGTAGGTGAATGGTTTTTATAAAGTATTGAGCTTAGTGAGAAGAGCAGGTGCTCACGTGCCGTCGGCCCGAATGCAATTTGGCAGTGACGCCCTCACTTGAGACAGAAGTCCCCAAAGTTTGAGTCGCAGGAGCCTTCCCAAAGGAGTACCTGCAGGCGCTCGTTACCGTTTGTATAAAGAGCAAGCCATCCGCAACACCTAACTACAAGTTCTCCAGCGAACCTGGTCAGGTATTTGTCAGTATGTCCAGAAGCACTTAAAGTGTGAAACAGCACAGGACAGCCCCACGACAGAATCATCTGATCTCAAATGTCCGCAGCGCCGAGGTGGAGACACCAGCCTATGGTGAGTGCTCAGTCGATGTCAGCCCATCATTGTCACTACCTCCTCCAAGGGATCACATCTAAGTGGCCAGGGTGTAGAATGACAGCCTGTGTGGCTCTGTCCTCAGACGGTTACAGCCCCGTGGAGGTGACGGCCCTATGTGGTCGGGAGGGCAGTGCTTCTGGCTGCTCCGGAATTGTGTTACTCAGCAAGTTGTTTTAACTGGTCTGTGTCTCGGGGTCCTCACCAATAAAATGGATATAAACGCACGACGGGGTGAGGATTAAGCAAGGTACCAGGAGAGCGCTCAGAACAGCTCCCGGCACACAGTCAGTGCTCAATAAACGTCAGATGTTACCTTCCTAAAGAAAAAAAGTATGAAGTAGAATTTTTATGTACTGACGTGGACGTCTCAGAACAAGCCATACAGTATGAGCTCCTTTTGGTCTCCTTTTTCTAAGCCAAAACAAGAGAGAGGAAAAAAATTGGATTGGATTTTGAAAAAAAAAAGTCAGGAACTCCCCAAAGGCCTGCTCCTCGAGCCAGGGAGGGAGGAGCGGACCAGAAGCACCTTCCTGAGTGCACACCAATGCTGAGTTCTTCCCTGGTGGGGTCCCAGGTGAGTCAGCTCCCAGGCTCGCGGAGGAGGGACAGGAAAGGGAGGGAACAAAAGGGCCACTGGGTGTGGCAGGTTCCCCCACCATCTGAACTCGGGTTGCTGGATTCAGAGTCCAGAGTGCTGAACATTACATGCTGGAACTGGCTGCTGCCGGGTGCCCTCAACAGGATGGGATCAGGGATGCAGGTGGAGCCGCAGGGCGGAAAAGGAGAGTCTGTAGCAGAGGATGGTTTCGATCCATCGACCTCTGGGTTATGGGCCCAGCACGCTTCCGCTGCGCCACTCTGCTGGCTTCATCCACCTCTGCTGGCTCAGATGGTGACCATTCTGACAGCCTCCCGAGCTGCAGCGACCCCTACCGGCCAGGGGGAACTAACCCGTGATTAACTGGTCACCAGCTGGGCAAGGCAGTGCCCAGTTGCAAATAAACTAGACTTTTGTTTTCCCTCCCTCAATTTAGGAAGACGATCTATGAATTCATGTCCTTTTCTGCTGTTAAAGACAAAATATTGGCCGGGCATGGTGGCTCATGCCTGTAATCCCAGCAATTTTGGAGGCTGAAAGCTGACTTGAGCCCAGAAGTTCGAGACCAGCCTAAGCAACATAGCAAGACCCTGTCTCTACAAATAATTAAAAAAAATTAGCCAGGCATAGTGGTGCATGACTATAGTCCTAGCTACTCGGGAGGCTGAGGTAGGAGGATTCCTTGAGTCCAGGAGTTGAAGGCTACACTAAACTGTGATTGCACCACTGCACTCCAGCCTGGGAAACAGAGTGGAGACCCTCTATCAAAAAAATAAACATCACCAGACCCAGTGGTGCACACCTGTAGTTCCAGCTACTTGAGAGGCTGAATCAGGAGGATCCCTGAGGTCTGAAGTTTGAGGCCGTGGTGCACCATGATCGCACCTGAGAATAGTCACTGTGCTCCAGCCTGGGCAACACGGCGAGACCCCATCTCCAAAAAAAAAAAAAGAACAAATCAACAAACACAACCTGTATAGTTCAAAGTGTCCATGTCCCTGGACATGGTGACAGTACTGTATTTTGGTGGTGGTGGTTGGATTTTGGAAAGGAACAAAAACATCATTTCTCCCATCAGTTCAAAATGACTTCTAATTTGTTTAATTATGAACAAACTATCCTTTTAATTCTGCTTCTCTTGACCTACTTCTTCCCAGTAGCCAAGGAAGCCATTTCTTGCATAAGAAACTGCTTAAAATTAACGTGTCAGGAAATCTTGCAATTCAGTTTTACAAGAAACTGATTTGAAGAGAAACACAAATAAAAGCTTACATTTTCAAGAAGGTATAAACTGTTCCCCCAAGAACATGTTGGACATAAATCCTTT